CGCTCTCCTGCAATAAAGCTGCCCGTGGATGGGAACAGCGTGGTCGTCGTGTGGTGGTGGTCGAAAAGCTGTCGTTCGGCCCTGGGCCACCAGTGCCGCGCGTCTCGGAAAAGGACCTTCAGAGGCCCCGACGTGACGTTCTCTGTGGGTGGGTGGTGGGGCGGGCAGGGGGGTTGGGACAGGACGGGCCCATGAGGCCCTCCTTGCTCCAAATCACCGTGGTTCTGCTATAAACGCACTCACTGAAATGAATGCTCTGCCTGGGTTGTGCTTACCATGCAACACATATTTAAAGCATTGCTTAAAATACTTAACGGAGAAGTCTAGGTAAAGGTTAAAAGCAGGGATCTTTCTTACAAGTAATAGTCATCAAACAGCAGCCTGGGTCTGTCTGGTGGGTGATAGAACAGAGGCCATAGCAAAGGTGAAGGAGGTCGCTTGGCTGTGCCACAGCCAGAAACCAGCATCAATGAGCAAGAAGTTGTACATAGGCAAACACAGTCACATATTCTGTTTAAAATCTTGCAAAAGCTGGAAAGCTGAAAATACGCGTAAAGCTTTGGGCAGCTAGAGTAGTGCCTTAGCGTTACAGGAATCTCTTTTGAAGAGGCAGAGTCAGACTCACTACTTCATCCTCAGCTCCAGCAAAAACAACACGAGCATCTTGGGGGGGGAGGGGGGAAGAAAAAAAGTCTGGCTTTTTATACCCACCTTAATTACATGGTTCACTCCTAGCCAACATACTCTTTAATTTGTCCATTAACAACAGGTGTAACACACTGTCTCGAAGTCAGTACTATTACAATACTACAAGATTAAAGAATCTACAAGAATGCCTGCTGAAGAACCAATTTAGAACCACAAAACGCTACCGTTCTTTGCCAGTGTCTCTACATGGCAAGGAAGATGGGGGTAGCACTAGCACGGATATGATTTCTGCACTTTGTATTCTTGCATGAGGGAATTTGACAGCATACACTCCTCTGGGCAGTCCAGTTGGGGATGCATGCCTAAATATCGCTGACAAGTATGGTTTGACCTACACAGGTCGTTTCTCATCAACTTTTGTCCTTTGCAGTCAAATCAGATGGGTTCTCTCATTTCTCTCTGGGCATCGTGAACCGACTGGAAGCAGGAACAGACATATCAGTGAATTAAAACAAACAGGTAGGATGTAAAAGCCTAAGCAAGTAATATAGAAGCCGGCAGAATGCAGGGAGAGGTGATGAACTAGGGAAACAGGCATGCAGCAAAGTTCTAGATGGATGTGATTGAAAGGGCATATCGCCTCTGACAGTATCTTGCAGTTCCTAAGATGAGCCCAGATAGGTCCTTCATTCATAGGTCCTTCAAGATTTTACCATAGCATGGACGTGAAGAGCTACAGAGGTCTGAGTCAAAGACAAAACTCAGGTCACAGCTCTGAATGATGATCAAGATAACATGGTATTATTCCAAGAGGAAGACCGAGAAAGAAGCTTAAAAAGCAGGTAATTGTGAAGACTCATCAGACTGAGAATTTCATCTGGACAGGCGGTGAGAGGTCTCTGGAGTAGTAGCCAGGTAAAGCTCAGCAGTCTACATGAAGAGCATAGTTGAGTTTGCATAAAACCACAAAAGATAAGGGCAGAAACTGTGAATTATATGAGCATGTATTAAAATATGATTAAATATGACCTGTATCTTAATGTTAGATTTTACTCTCAGCTTAAATACATTCCAAAGTAAAAAGGATAAATAACTTTTCTTACTTAATAAAAAAAGAAGGAGCACAAATGCATTAACAGTCACTCCAACAGGCTAAACCCAGTTAACATGACTCAACTTTACATCTTTTATACATGGATCATCTGCACCCATTTATTCCAGTTAACTTCACAGGGAAACACTCTTCCCAGCCTGAGAGTACAGTCTATGGTAGGCTCATAGTATATTGTTGGGGTTTCACTCAGTTTGGGATTGTTCAGCTGTTCTTCCATAACTGGATGAGAAAAGAGAGACACTACTGATGGCTTTTTCATGTAGAACCGTTTGATGCAACCAAGAGCTTCCAGACCCTGTAGAAAAATTCAGATGTTTAGCTACAACAGTTGCACAAAAACACGTGTTAAACACTATTCTACCCATAGTGTTGTCAGCAACTGTACACCAAATTTATATGGCAGAGATTACAGCAGAACAAAGTAAGTTCACATAGCTGGGCACGTACTCATTTATCACTTTGCTTGTCAATTACTGTATCTATTGAAGATAAAACCTTCCAGCATAGTGATTGACATCTGGATACTAATACAGAATGTGTTCAACAACAGATCTCCAAAGTTTAGGACCAGTTACAAACCATTTTAGTGCCGCTCTATATGGAAAGTGTAGACTTCTGGCTTGCTTCTTGCTGAAGGCCGGCGTTCCTTCTCACAACCACACCCAGCAAGACAATGTATGTGCCGTAAATATCTAGTGTATATTTCGTGATCTTACCTAGATAGGCACCTAGATGTATTAATACTTGGTATATTGCAGATAGAAGCTGTGTATACGCTTTCACAACCAGTTACTGTATTTATTGGCAGGGAAGAAGTTAGATTCAAGTTCTCTAATCTTGGAGAGTACCGGTAATTCCTTGATCTTGTGGATTTGAATTAATTTAAGCTGCCTAGGAATCTGTATTTCTCTCCTATATATACATCTGACTGCTAGACACTATGTATTATAGTCTTAAACCTGTCTACTGATCCTGCTGCTTTGCCCTTCTCCTGACCCTAACTAGCCTCTTGGTGGTCTTCCTGTGGAATAGGACATACGGGCATGCTGTGCTGGAACACCTAGGAAGTAGGAATAATGAGTCAGCACATGGTTGGTAGTGTACACAACTGGCATTAATACCAAAATGTATGAGAAGTGTGGCATATATATTGGAATATTAATTTCCATTGTTAAAAGGGGAAGTCGGTTATGGGAAGGACTGTGGTGCTACTCCTACCCTTAAGATTTTGAATCCTTGTAGAAAAGGAATCAAGCAGATTTCACTTGCAAAGAAAGCTATGGTGGCAGGCATACACTTCCAGATGCAAAAAAGACAGAAACTCAAGTTTTCTAACCATGTATTGTTCTACAATTAAGGATGTATGCCTTTAAGCAGGTTTGTAAAACCAGAAGGTACTATTTACAGTGTTGTCTAGCACAGACATTTCAGTCTGCTGCTCATGTCAAAAGACTACCAATCTGAAATATATATATGTAAGGAAAATTTAAGATAAACTCCATAGTGATTAACACTGCATTAAACCACCTAAGTTAATATTTCATGGTGACAAGCCACTCTCTGGTAACCAACTAGAATTCCAGCTGCATTTATATCCATTTCAGAAGAAAACTCAATTTTTTGAATCAATAGTACAGTAATTCAACAGACAGTGGTAAAGCAGGCCTCCATCCTCACTGCTAATAGTACCTTACTCTGGCTTTGATGAATTTGTTCCAAAGGGAGAAGGTTGTTTTTCATGGTCCATTGACAATTATCACCCATTGTTCTGGGACTCCCAGCAAAGGGTTTACTGACTGCTAAGTACAGACTAAGTGTGGAAGCTGAACCAGATTACAGATCAAACATCTGATGACTCACATACCTGCAGTATCTCTAAGACAGCGACGGGCTGCAGTACTCCCATATAATGCTGCAACAGCATGCTTTCCGTTATGCCTGGTTTTGTCATGATGTGATAGAGCACAGCTTCCATCATTCCCTTGCACACAGGTTTATTCAGATTCCCATCCACAATCCTCCATGGTCTCCCAATGAAGCAGACATTCTCGCAGGCTCTGCAAAAGGAGGTTTAAGTTCAGCTCGATCAGTTGCTACTTTGATAGTGAGAAACGCAAACTGCTGGCTGCATTGAGACTCTTCCAACTCCCTGTACTAGCAGTCAAGAAAAAAACACACTCGCAGGCATATCCTTGTCTTGTGATTTTATGCAAATATACTTACCCTGTCCTTAGTCTTTACTGGGTTTTCCTGATAGGAATGATTCTTCAAGCTAGATTTCCCATCATCAGCGTCACTGCTTACTAGAGAGTCTTACTGCATCCATTTCCAGTGTTCGCTCACATACTAGGTAAAAAAATTCTGCAGCTACTCTGAGAATGGGCAGAAACTGGTGCTAATCTACTGAACAGGTCTACAGACCTGAAGCATTTCATACCAGCTGTTCACCGTCTGAGAAGCACTCTTAGCACCATTATACCACCCAACAACCACCTTGTGTCTTACTGACCAGGAAAAGCTTTCTTTGCACTAGGCTCTAATATCCTCCAAAGGCCCACCCAAGACATGCTTCAATCTACAACATGCAGTAACAGTGCTCAGACAGGAAACTGAATTCCTTATTTTTAGCGTTTTGAGATCCAAGGAAAGACCCTGCAGGGAAATCCATACCTTCCCATATTGCAGTTTCTCCAGGCCTTTCCTGGGGAATTGTAAGCAGAGACCTAGTGGCACCAGACTTATTTGTGGAATAAGATTATTTTTGCTCCTTTGATATTTGGAACTTACTCATTTTTGAGAACAAACATGTACCAGAGGGATCTTCTCAGAATGCATACCAAGACACGAGTAACATTAACAAGGACAATGGAGAAAATATGGGGGTTCTCCATCTTCAGTACTCTGCCCGTCAGAAAATAAAACTAAGGTCACCAAAGCATTTGCTTTCAGAAGTTATTTTGGTAATGCTAACTGTTCAGTTATTCTGCAAACATCTCTACTACTCACCTGTCCCGGGCTGCCTGAGATAGATCTGTCACGGAACTTCCTGGAAAGAAAAGGACATGTACATTTTATGTTAAGTAGCCTAAACTCTATAGCCAGTGCCAGGAAGATAAAAGGCGGCTAAGCTTTAAAAGGCAATGGCTTATGTTAGAAAAGAAAAAAAGAAAGTTGAGCTGCGTGTTGTTGTCAGTTGCATGGGGTGTTTTGAGCTTCCACTCTGACTGCGTTTGATCTGTCTGCGAGATCTTCTCTCTTCCTGTAGCTATTCTCTTAATCACATCTGTCTACTCCAACCACACTTTCTGTGGTCCATTCCCAAATCAGAGCAAGATGTTTTATAAGTCTTGCTACATGGCTGAACGATGGATAATTATGTGGATTGAAAAAGAACCAAGTTTCACACAAAGAGCAATGCAGGGTCTCTGCTTGCAGGCACTCCTGTAGGTTTAACTTTCCTGCTACTGGCAGTCATACTGAAGTTGAGCAGAAGTCTGAGTAGTTGTAGACTGGGACTTGAGAATGCAAACTCAAGATTTCAGCAGGGTTCAGTTTTGATGAGAAGGCACTCTGCAACTTCCACAGTGCGTTACGCCACGGGCTTTAATTACACAATTACTTAACTTTGGGTATTTCTACCACACCCAGAGGCTAACAGCTTTGGCATAAGCACATCTTGCCTTCCTACCTAAACCCTTCCGAGTAAAGCAGCTGAACAAAGGGAAGAGACAAAGCTCCTGTGGCAAGACCAAGTCCAAGTCCAACTCATGACAAGTATGTGTGAGTACAACAGACTAGAACAGCCCTAACAGGAGCTTTCCAAAAGGTTTTCTTTACCACAGTTGACAGCTTGAGCACTTACACTCCATTTCAAGGCAAATGGAAACAGAGAACTACAAATGCTGGTCAGATGCACCTGAAACCTCATTTAAAAAACTGGGAACTTGGGAACTAAGATTCAACATGGATGCAAACTTTGCCTTTTGGCAGGCACATCATGAGTGAGCTAAAAACTAGGAGTTCCAATTGTGTAACTGTAACCATACCGCATGTTTCCTACTTTAATTCCGTACACAGGACGTACCACTTGACAATTGCTTATTTAGAACATGAGATAATGTTTTAAAACCACAGAAGTGTTACACAAGCACATATCTCTTGGTAAGTGTCAGCTGGACTTCATAAATAAGCCTGGTAAGAACTGTAAGCTTGGTATGACAACTAACTAGGATTTTTTTCCTCCTCCTAAAAATAAAGAGGAAATTAAATCAAGAATACATTAGTAGTTTCATGTTAAGAGCTGCTGAAATCTATGCTGCTTAGACAGCCCTGAGTCCGTACCCTGCAGGAAGGCTCCATTAAACAATACTAAGCTCTATGGATTGGTCTGCACTGATTCATATGACGGCCTGCAACTGTCAATGTAGAGTAACGGCAGATATCAGCAAAAGACTATGCAAGCAGCCAGCTTATGATTCCATCTGAAATCAGAGCCAATAGAAAGAAAAACAAAATACCCTCCCCCCCCATCAAATTTAAGGTAACGCTTGGCATGGACTATAGGCTATTAAAAAAGAACACTAGCAGTAAAAATGTAATAAAAATGAAGTCAAACTGGGTCATAAAAGGGGCTATTATTCTTCTCAATGGCACATGCCACTTGCTGGTGAACGGTTTAAGACTTTGCAGCTTTCAGTCATTGGCATTCTAGTCAAATGTACACCAGTAGCACTGGATTTTCTACCTTTAAAGATGTCTAGCCTCTAGACTGAATCCAGGGAAGAGAACCTCAAAATCCAGATATGTTTTTGGAGAAGATTAAGACATGAAAACATGTTTCTAAAAAAAGCATATTTCTGAACTAGTCATGAACATTCCAGCAATAGATTGGGGAAGGAATCTCTGATGTATTTGAAGCCTCCATAACCTTCCAGATCAACTAGTACAATGCCACTTTGTGAGAAATTAAAACCCCTCTCAGTGGTATATGTCTTCACAAAGGATCTGATATTTACCTATAAAATGTAGCTATCTGTTTGGGATCAGCTGATGGTAAGCTAGTCTCTACTCCTTAATGTGTAGGACTCCTACATACCTGTAGGGACTTCCGGGTTCTCCTGTAAATGGGTAACCTCATCATGCTGCTCCTTGGCCGAGTGTTCAACGCTAGGGATCTGCTTGTCCTGCTCAGCGGCGAGATCATCATTCTCTGCTTGAAGCTCTTTGTCCTCAGAACAAGATTTATCTTGTTCCTCGTAAGTGTCCACATTCACAGCATCTGAAGCACGTGCTGAGTCTCCAGCTAGGTGTTCTGTTGGCCCTCCCGAGGGGCCTGCTTCTTCATCGGTGGCTAAAGCTTCCTTCGTTTTAACAGGATCAGTAACATCTGCATCAGAGTTATTTCCACTTGCACTTTTCAAACCACTCTGTGGACCCTGGCAGAGTTGGCTGCCATCTTGAAGCTCATCGTTTTGAGTCTTAAATCTCTTTCTTGGGGGTTCTTCATCACTGACAGATTCTAAGTCTTTTACTGGCTGTTCCTCCTCTCTTGAGCATTCCTCCCCCTTCTTTGGTTCTGACTGCAGGCAATCCTGTTGCACATCTGAGAGAGTGGTATCTGTGCCTTGCTGACCAGAATCGTCTGGTTTATTCTTCAGACATACCGAATGTAATAGCCATGGCTTGGCAAATACTATTGCAACCAGTCTTACGGTATGGCCTCCTACTTCTAAAACCTGTTGCATTTCAATCAAGTCCTATTAAAAAAAAGAAGTTTCATTAGCTTACACTGGAAGATATCAGTATACCCCAATATCATGGAATTCCTATCCTTAACTGGCAGCAAGAAAAAAAAGAGGAAGAGCTTAGCGGGGCATTCAGTTTTCCGTCCTTTTGTGTTGAAGTTGGTAAGATGTTCTGCCCCTTACACTTTTCTGAAATTACAGCAGAAGACCTTTTTTTGAGCTTAAATTAAAGAAAAAAGTAACTGAGAAAGTCCTGTGCTTCCAAAGGTGAACATCTGGTACCTCTAGGTTTCTGAAACAGTTCATTCCTAGCTTTGAAAAAGTATTACTTTATTTTTTGGTCCGCCTAACTATGAGGCAAGATTGCCATCAGGCTATTGGTATGTCATCTCTCTCTACCTTTTTTCAGTTTATATTTGCTTCATAAAGCCTGGAAGATTGTTCTGTTCAAGGGAAATACTAAACATGAACATATGTATGTATGGAAAGCAGCTGGCTATAAAACCACCTGAATGTACTGCTGCAAATTCCTGGTGCGTGCAGGTTCCATTTCTTCATAGTTGCAGAACTGTCTGCCCAGCTCAGCTTTGCCAATCCCAAAGTGGGAAGTTGCTTCTATTGCATTACGGATCTCCAAAACAGCAGCTACATCTCTGGGATTATAACCATAACATTCTGTACACTGACGAAGAAACCGATCAACTTCATAATTTTCTTCTTGGACTTTTATCAGTCTGGTGAAAGTTTTAGGGAGGCAAGAGACTCCCACAACCATCTTATCAAGCACAGAAGAAACTGCAAAGTAAATTAAAAAAAAAATGCTGTGAAGCAGCTGTTACTATGCTATACAATATGTAAAGAAAAAAAAATCTGAAACAGACAGATTAGAGGTGGTCTAGACTATTTCATTTAAAAATACAGCTCAGTTTTTCATGTTCATTACTGTAGTTTCTCATTCTGCCTTACATATCTGTCTCTGAAAAGACCTGCAGAAGAAGAGCAAGCCAGTTTACACAGGCCTACCCTCATATCAAAGTGAAGTATCAGTGAAAGATAGTGTGGACTTACTGATATCGTCTCTAACACTCAGCTAAACTCTAAGTTGAGGAGGAAATCATCTTTTTTCTTGAAGAAGGTCAAGTGAAGAGCCTAAGGCATGAAAAGGCTACGGAGGACGCCATTAATCAAAATATCTCAAGAAGCTGATGCAGGGTAGAACGCTGTTGGCCAAATATGGTAAAACCCACGAGTTTCCAATGTCTTAGTACCATCAATATAACAGAGCGTCTGAGCATAGTGTGTTTGGGGACAGGTCTATCACTGCACCAAAATTTACCCAACTATATGAAGTTGAAGCAATATAATATCTTTTTGCAGTCTTGGATGATTACAGAGTAGTTTTGGCAGTGTTCTTATTTGCTCCCCACCCTTTTATCTGCAGGCTGCCTTTACACTGTGCCTTTTGGGACACTCGTGACAGCTGCACTGCTTTGACAGCCACAACAAAGATGAGAACAACTGTAATGAGCTGTCAGCTCAGCAGACCTGGAGGGCACGTGTGGTAGCAGAGATCTGAGAAAGAAATCCTATTTTACCTCTATCGCAACAGCAATGGGAATGGGCAGGGACAGCACTAGCCCTTCCATTACAACTAAAAGCTGTCCTGGATACATTTGCATTACAGCAGAAAGGAAGACACTCTTCAAGAAGGGAGAGTGCTGACAAAGAATTGCAAATATGCAAGCTGTAAATATCATCAAAATGTTTAAATTACTGTACCTACAATGCCACAGATTAAACACCACTATTCCAGACACTTCTAGGAGACAAAGTAAATGTGAATTTCTGTCAAAGGAGCTTGGAAAAGATTTTCTTTTCTCTTTACGGAAGGGAAGGTCTTAATATGACATAATGGGGGGTTTTAAGCTGTAAGAGGGACTGGAAAAACTTCCTGCTAAAGGGATAACAAAGTAGAGGACTAATTTCCTCTTTGGATTAATGGTTTCACAAAACATGAAATGCAGCCAAGGACTTATTACCAACAAAATGGCCCTCTGTAAGCCAACCACCTGTTAGTGCTAAATCAGGAGAGAAAGCATTACAAGGCAAACCACATGTTCTAATGAGTATGAAGAAGAATGTTCCTATTAGGAGGCTTTGTTCAAATCAGTTCCTCAGCTCATCAGTTTTCTATCTTGCCTATTCTAACCTAATTCTGTGCAAGTTAGGCCAAACAGAAACCAACCTGGAGAGCTGAGTCTTCCTGGAACTGGTGTACATCGCAGCTTAACCTTCACTTGGCAGGAATTGACCACAATATTGTCACTGGGACTCAGGTTGCGTGTGCTGACAATTCCAGGCGCGTAGTAGCCTCTCATCAGTAAGTAATTGGTATGAGATGCTTGACGAGCTTTTACTTCTATTCTCCGTTTGCCTCCAGAACTGTCGTCTAAGTCCTCGTCGTCATCGTCATCCTCCTCGAGTCCTTCTTTTCCCAAACTACAGCAAACAGAAGTGTTTTGTTTGTTTGTTTTTCTCCCCCCACCAGCCTCCCAATAAGATCTTAAGTGACTTATTACACGGAGCGGAGCAAGAACACATGCTTTTCTGCGTTCCAGAATTTAGTCATAAACAGCTGTGGATAAGTCAACAGCAGGCTGATTTAAAGTGCTGAGAACAAGCAGCTACAAGAAAGGATAACGCAGTGAAGGTCCCTGGAAAAGGAAACTCTCTTTTTTGTGAGGATTTTGAAAGGAACCCAAAATGTTTCAGCTCACACTGCTGAGACTCTGGTTCAGTAGGCACTTCATCATGAGGGCACACCTGTCAGAGCACAAAGGCTGAGACCATAAAGGATATTGCAGCGTAGGGCAGACTATTTTTAAGGTGGGAGAAAAAAGGTAAGAATTACAGACCTCGCACTTCAGTTGCTTAAAAAATGAAACGAACTGTTTGTAGACCTCAAAGGAACATGGGGATAGTAGTAGCAGCCTGGATGGATTTCCCAGGAACAGTTTTAATCAAATCAACGCTCTTTCCTTTCAGGACAGGACATGAGCCCTAATGGATAAAGGTGAGGCAGATAAGGCTCCGAGAAACTTGATCTAACTCTGAAGTTGCCTCCGCTTTAAGAAGATTAGGCCAGAGACAACCAGAGGTCCCTGCCAACCTTTTCTAAGATTATTTAGACCTTAAGTACCTTCTCTTCTAACTTCTTTATAACCAAAAGAAAAAACAATTTGGAAAAACTAGTGCAAGTGCACAATCAGTTGGAAAACTGGACTCAGATGCCTGAGTCCAAACTGGGACTTTTCTAGCGTTCAGCCTTGAGTGTATTTTTGCTAATGACCTGCATGATAAAAGAGGGACTTTGCTTATTAAGTTTGGAGGGGATACCAAACTGGAGAGGCTGCAAGTATGTGGAAGGACAGGATTTAATTTCAGAACATTTCCAGAAAATGGGAGAAATGGCCTGGAAAAGAACAGGAAACAATTTAATAGGGACAAATGCATACTACGCACCTGTGCCCATACTGGAGGGGAAACAAGTGGCTAAGTAAAAGAAGAGAATCTTACTATAGTGAATCACAAGCTGAACATCAATCACCACACTTTTTTTTTTTTTTTCCCCTCCCTAACAGTGTGGCCACTCATCATTTTGGGATGTATGAGCAGATATATGTATATAACACGTGATGTAACTGGTATATATCAGCCAGCAAGAACACAGCATTGGGTTTTTGACATCACAGTTCAGTGCAGAGGAGAGTAATGAGAAAGACAGAGATCTGGATAACATACAAAAAACCAAACCAAACCAAAACAACTAAAGCAGTGGAGATTGCCTGTTTTAAAGAACAACCGACTAAGGAAGAAAGATTATGATAACAATCTTCAAATATGTAATAAGCTGCTCTACAGAGGAAGAGATTGTACTGTTTTCCATCTATACCAGCAATAGAGCAGGAAGCAACAGGTTAAACTGCAGCAAGAGATTTTAGCTGCTCACTAGGAAAACATAATGATTGTAAGGATAGCTATTCATAGCATTGGACTACCTGGGGAGAGAGTGGAATTTCAATTATTGGAAGCTTAAAAAAAATAATCAGCAAAGAATAGACAACGCACAGAACAAATACTGAGGAGGCAGGTTTCACTGAAAGCTGAAACCTTGTTATTAATCCTTGTTAGTCCTTGAAACGAGATAGTGATGAAAATGCTCATATAGCACACACTATTCTCCTTATCACATGAGCTCTGGTGACAGTGAAGTGCCTGTCAATTTCAATGGCACATACGTGATGACAAATGTAGTCCAAGGCTATAATGACAGACACTAATAAAGTGCCATTAAATCTTCAGAATGCTCCCTGAAAAATAAAAACCTAAAGACCGTCACAGCAAAACATGCCACGACAGATTTCATTCAACCTTCACATCTTATTTACTAACAGAAATAACAGTGCTTACCTTTTGATCACTTCATTCTCAACCATAGTGCTGTCTACTACAACTATCTGCTCCGGGATTCTCACATTCACAGACACAAGCCCCAAGGCAAATAGGGAAAGCATCGCCACACAGTGGCCCCCAGGTCCATCCATAGGAAATGCAACCATGCCTTCTGATGTTTTAATTTCTTGATCTTTAAATGAGAAGTTATCTGGCTGATCTGATTTTTCAGCATCCTTCAGCTTCTCGAGAAATTGAAAGGACTCTGTACAAATTGTACTGGGAAACCGCCAGGTAAAAACTCTGCACAAAAGAACAAATTCAAACAAGCATACAACGTTCATATTCTGTTCTTACTGTTTATGAATTTCAGTCCAGTGGTAGCACAAAAAGAATGCAACAGTTTAAGTTCCAAGCTAAAGCTGGTGACTATGCACTTTCTACACCTACTTGCACAGCTATGCGGTGCCCAAATAGCTATATGGCAAATGTAAAACAAAGATCTCCTCTGCTGCTTTGGCATTAAATACATTTACAGTTAATGCCCTCCCCCTGCCAAACATCCAGGTACAGTGCAGCACAAAACAGCACAAAATAACTGTAGAGGAAAAGCAAGCAACCATCAGAACGACAAGAGTACTAAAGAAATCTTTCCATCGTGTCAAGAACTTCGGTGCTACTTCCCCTCTCTGTATGCCTTTGTAAAGGCTTGCTCAGTGAACTTGGCTCTACGCCCTGTGCAGCCCTAATTGCTAACTGAATAAAGGGCTAGCGTACACAGATGTTACCTTCACCTCTTCAAATTCAGCTGTGATGGTTAGGTTCTTTGCTCTAGGTACTTCACGCATATTCTCTCCTCCAAGCCAAGCATACCTTGCTACCTTCCTTCACTGGCTCACGCATAAACAGTGAACTTTGACACCCACCTGTAGTAACTCTGAGACAGCTGATATGACATGGGCACGAAGGGCAAAGCTCGGCTTTTCTTTGGACCCAGCGTGTGGTTTACTCGACGGCGATTAACCAAGCTTCTCTTCTGACACTCTACGAAAGCCTTCACGAGAATGTCATCCCGGTACTCCCGGTACAAACGAAAAGTCTGCCAAAAAAAAATCCCCACTCAGTGTAAACACTTAGCTGGTAGTTGACATTATAACTCCAACTAGACCCTTAATCCCACAAAGAAGCGTTAGATCCAAATCCACTTTTAGACCTGCCTACTTGAAATTTCCTTTGACTAAATGAATATAGAACTACAAGCCAGAACTTAAATGATACACATAAATTTACTTAATTACACTATTCTATTGCTTTTATAGGCTTCCAGATTTTCCATAGCAAATGCCATTTCAATTAATTAAATATTAGAGAACACTTGCTATTCAAAATGGGATCAGGCTCCTGCTAGAATTATATATGTAAAAAAAAACCACTCCTCCGCACCATGTCTGGATGAACTCTTCCCATCCTTTTACCAGGAACGTCTGCTTCCATGAGCTTGTGTGATAAGATGTTAATATTCCTTTGAACTTCTGACTTTTGTTTTTTCTTTTTAAAAAAGTACTTGACACTGATAGATTATATATTTTTTGTGGTCCCCAATGTTGAAGGAGAGGCTAACTTTAACATCAGGGTCAGCTGGACCCTAGGACTATCTTTGGGATATCTCTTCCAGAGCATAATTCCAACTGCTTGAGTAGGCACTGAATCGTGATATAGTTTGCTCCATTAGAATGGATGTGGAGTTCATTTCATATGATTTTCAGGAATTGCTCCAACCTCCCATCTTGCAATCTTATCCTCACAGGGAAAAGTAACATATTGAAAGTCAGCCTGGAACATGTAATTTCCTTCAAGCAGAAGGAAACAGTCCCCACAGAATGGACACAGATCTAAGCTTCTGAGTTTTTTATCTCCCATTTATCTCCCATATGTCAAAGTAGGAGGGAGAAGCTCTTCAGGGTTGTATGTCCAGTAAAGTTTGGTCTAGACACTGTACCTGAAATGACTGGCAAGATTTCATCTGATTATCTGAGAGCGCCAAAGTGCTCTGAATCAGATTCTGTAGCACTAGAAAATGAATATCATAGATGCTGAAAGAAAAAAAAGGCGGGGAGAGGGTTATTCATGATGATTTTTGAGCATGAGATACCTAGCTAATAACCTGGCATAAAAATTTTCTAATTCAATCAACTGCTTCTATAATAGATGTATAAAGATATAAGATCACTACAGCTGAGAACTGTTGATATAAAGGAACTTGTTACTTTTTTCTTGTCTCTCCACCCTGAACTTTTGGATTAGTCCAGACATAAAACTACATTCTCTTTGATAACATCTCCTCCTCTTAAGTACCCATACGGGAAACATACGCCGTTGTCATAACGATAAGAGATCACTGGAATGAGTGATTATTGCCTAATTTTAGTTAAGAATACTCAAATAGGAAAGCCAGTTCTTATTACAGGTTTTGGAGAACACCTCACTGGCAGGTGAAACTTCCACTTTAATCTCTACCTGTCCAGAGCCTGAGACTCCCCATGACAGTTATAGTCTAACAGCACAGAGGAGGTGCTTCCCAAGTGCAGAAGCCTTCTGCCAAAGACCACATTCCAATCTCTCTCTCTCTCTCTCTCTCTGTGTGCACATGACCCCTGATGGAACCAGTTTTCCTAGAGCAACTTAGGCTTCCCTAACAGAGTCTTAATCAATACTGAAGTTATTTAAGCAGTTATGAAGTAAAGTACCTTGGGACTTCAGTGTTGTCTAAGTAAAGTACCCAACCTAACAGGGTCCCAACTGCAGAGGATCCACTGGTTGCCAGTGAGAGCTACCTGTGTTTACATTTTTTTTCTCCTATGACTATTTTATCTAGCAGCTTCTACTCATATCTTATGATAAGCTTCCAAGAAGTCACACAATTCTCTGATCGATGAAGTTCAGTTTGAGGACTCCCTTTTTCTTGCCAATGCAAGTAGTAACCACCTCACTGGTCAGAGAATCACAGTGCTCAAATAGAGGAAGTCTCTTAGATATCAAATTCCCACTGTTGTAGTCAGGTCTAACTATTTCACTCTTTGGAGAGAAGCTGAGGGAGGAAGACTAATACTGCTATGTAAGAGCAGATGCTGTTGTTTAATGGACAATCTGTGCCTGATCCTGGAGAGAAAACAAAAATATTTATCTCAGCTCAAAAGCACTTTTCTCATGTTCTGCAATTCTCAGACACCTCTTTTGCTTCTCTTCACAAGGAGAAAGAGGCCCGATATTTGTAGAATACTACAAAGGATTTCAGGAATGATCTTATTAATTCCTAAGTTCTGGTGAAGAGAGCAAGTGGAATAAACTTCTTTTGATTCAAAAAACAGGAGTTAAAATTACATAAATGCTGAAAAAACAATTTTCTTGATGAGGAAATATTGAGCAGATCATTGCTGCTTTCATTTTATTCATCAAATCCATAATAGATGTCACAGGTCCCTACAGCTTGAGAGAGTATTTTTCTATTAACAACTTTACACATTCAACAAAAAGATGAAAAATACACTAAATATACTGAAATATACTAAATCAGACGACTATACATATGACTTTCACTGATGCAAGGGTTGATATGATCTTGGGGAGTCCTAATGGAAAAAAAAAAAAGATATTATTACTTCTCACCTAGTAAGACTATCCTCTTTCGTGTTTTGATTTGTGTCATCTCCAATTGCCAAAACTCGAAATCTAGTTAGGGGAAGAGATAAGAAAACATTGAAACAAAAGTAACATGCCTTATACTAAATCTGTGCTGTACAGAGAGCTTGATTTTATATCAACTGTGAAACCCAAAGGCTGACAAATGCCGCTGCTAATAAGGCATCTGTTAAAATAGCGCCAGGCCAGCCCTCAGCAGAAGTGTCAAAAATTAGATGAACTGTCTGGATCAATCTACCTCATTCTACTAAAATATCTGTCCACGAGGGGAGACACGCCAGACAGAAGACAGTACAGAATCAGCATAAGCATAGGGTAAGACCACCTTTGACAGCAGGATTCAGGCAAGGAAACTCATAATTCTCCTTCCCTTTTTCCATGACAGAAAGGATTTTCTATTTTATTGAGCTTTCGGGCTTCCAGTTACCAACTCCAGCACTTCTGTTATAATGCACTGTTATAATGCTCTTCCCAAAGAAAGAAAATTTTCAAAGGTGCTAAATTGTTATCAGAGAATGACTGAGGCCCAAGTTTCCACACATATCTCCAAGAGTTATTCATCGCTGAAGAGCTCGACAATCTATGGCTGCAGAATGCTTATACAAAGCTAAGCACTTTTCTGTATCAACAGATTTAGATGCAGTATTGAGATGATTTATCTGAGTAACCAGCTACAAATTATGATACAAAATGAGGCCAGATAATTTGGGAAATGGTAAAGGGAAGTCTTCTATTACATTAAAGTGTTACATCTGAGTATCCACATCTCTGATAGCAAAGCTGAGGAATTTACCATGTATGAAAATTTGATACTGTAAATTTTGGGTTTTAAAAAAATATTATTTAGTAAAATCAAAATAAGCAAGCTTATGTAAATATGTTATAATATGTAATTAGTTATATGCATTTAGGAAGTATAGATTTGAAAGAAATGTTGCCTGTTGTATTTACAGAAACTTATTTTGATACCAGGAGAACAGGTAACAGAAGGTGTAAGTCACGCAAAGCAGAGAACAGATCAAATCTGAACTGCCTTCCTCCCACTCTGTCCCAGCCCCCATACAGACTCAAAAACCATCATAACTAGAATACCTGGAATATAGTTCCTGCAAAGTATCAGGAATCTCAAGTTTGGGATTCCCCAGGGTTGAACTGAATTTCTCTTTCAGTCTTTCCACAAACTCTTTAAACTCTTTTGAACAAACCTTTGAAAACAAGAGATAGGAAAGTTATCAAGCTTAATTTCTTAGAGTGGAAGAACTGTACTTGCAAAGTGTTCAAAAAAATTCCACTAGACGTGGCTACGTTGTGAATGATCCAACTGGAGAAACAGCCCAACAGACAAATCAGAAGAATGCGTCAAAAAAGCTCTGTAAGTGTCGTATTTGCTGATTTGCTTAACGGTTACTAGATCTGTTTGTTATTAGGCTGTCTGATAGTTACAAATTGGTTAACCAACCAGGAATATATATTTTAAAAAAACAATGACACTAGATTAACCATATAAAGTCTCTTGCAAAAGCTCTGTTTAAGCTTCTGCTTAAGTCTTTCTTCCCCCTCTCATACTCTTCATAGTCTGCATCATATTCTTTCTTAAGTCTACCTGTACAAGCACTACTTGGAAGAGACCTGTAACACGAGAATAAGGGTCCTGTATCTCTCTGCAAATACGTTTTTGCTTGCCTCCAAAGACAGACTTTGGGGATGGGGACAAATGAGGGAGGAAAAGACTAACAAAGTGAGATAAGATAAACCAAATGAAAAAATTCTCCCCTATACTGTAAAACTAACCGGAGAAGAGATACATAAAAATTGTGTAAGAGCTCCTTTATTTGCCACTTCTTTCCATTCAGGCCCTCTTCTCAGAAGTGTAAGATCCCATTCTGACCTCCTTTCCTTAGCTCTTGGGGCAGAGTAGGTGAACAAGGAGAGAAGATGCCTCTAGTATTTTTTCTGAATTCCTTATAAAGTAAGAAAGTGTGGCAGAAGACCCAAGCGGAAAACATCCAGTGTTCTCCGCAGCATGTAAATTGCACAATGCATGCAGCTTATTCCCAGCAGCAGTCCAGCAAGACCAAAGTCAGTCCTTCGGGTGCTGTTTATGGCCATATTCCAACTAACAAGTCAGGCCTTTTGGTGAAGCCAGTCCAAAACATCCCAAAGACTATACTGCCTGTGCTTCATATACATTCAGTATCTCAAATTCAAGCATGAGAAAGCACTGAGGAACAGCAGTTACTGCTACCTCAGCCAGTCTTGTAGGGATTCCCGCGATCAGTTTTCACAAAATTCCTCCTGGTCAGAGAATGAAAATTGTAGCTGCAAATCACTATAGATGCAGTGCTTTAGGAAAATTAACGTGAAGAAAGGCAAAAGGCATCAGAAATATCAGTTGTAAGGTAATGCAGAGACACACGCAATTGTTCCAGTAATGTCTCACCAGGGAGCAACTATTCTTTATTTCAGCAAACGTGAATCTAACAACAGAACTGGCTGGGATTTTCTAACATGAATGTAGTTGTTCCTGGATAAAAACAAAGACAACCTTGCCATGACAAGGTCCTAATTCTGAAAAAGTTTTGAAATTCAAAATGGAAGGTTTACATTTGCAGGGCAAACAAACTTTTCACTTTGAAAACTTGTGCCTAATTTAAGTAACAAAAAGCTCAAATTAAATCTTTTGACTGACCAAATGAGGGTGTCTCTCAGGTGATTTGCTTACATTCCCTCCCTCACCCTCTAAATTTGAGGCAATATTTCAAATATGAAACTGGAATAAAAAATGAGAAATGACAGAGCAGAATTGTTTTCTTGCTCAGATAACAAGGAGGCTGACAGGATTGGGGAAAAAAAACCCCAGTGCATACGCATGCTCAGTCATGGCTGTTTAGAAATACATTGACAAAACAAATTTTTGCTGCACAGCAGAGCTGTTTATGTGCCTTTGGAAGGCTGCCTATTCTTATCTTGTGCCCAAAATAGCAATGATGTAGCATTTTTATAACGATGCTATTTTTAACATAGCTAAGAATACAAGGAAGAGATAAGGAATGAAATCACAGTAATCCAAACAGAGTAAGTATTCACTAATCCAAACACTGTAAGTACTCTATGACCTTTTAGAGTATTTCTCTTCCTACCTGTGGATCTTCATAGTTATTTTCTCTGTTCATGAAATCCTCAGTGAGGGCTTTATCTTGGTAAACCTCAGCAAGGCAAACTCTGCAACAGATAGAATTGAAGGTGTTGTAACTAGCTGAAGTTTTCTCAGTTCAACGCTGCTCAGATAAGTTAATGCACTTATTTCAGTTGAAACATCATTTCTGTACCTTCCAAAGCACAGCATTTATAAAACATGGTTCGAGGAAAAATTCTGCCTAAGTTATCATGCCCATACCAACATTTTCAATGCAACCAAGCCAACTCATCACCATCTCCTCGCTTCATATGAACTGTGACAAAACTGAGAACCAAATGTAAATCCTCCTGGTATTGTATTTGTTCCTAAGAAAATGCATGATAATAAATGATAAAGCTTTTTCCTTTTGGAAAAACTGTTGCTCCACAGCGCAAACACATTGCAAGAGGAGTCACCATGTAAGCCAGTCAGCATAATAGGGTCTCAAGATTTCATAAGGAAAGAGAGAAAGTGGGTGGGGAAAGGAAGCAGATGTGTTCTGGAAGGGAGGGGAGAGGAGTTGAAAAAAATGTGGAGACGAGCATTTTGCTTCTTCTGAAACACAGGTTGCCAAGAAAGAGTTTGTAAGGGAGTTACCAGTCACTGGGGTTTTCCTGTTGATGTGTCCTTGTTTTAGTCGGAACATTGGGACAGTAGGGATCAAGTTCTGATGCCTGTACTTCTTGCACATCCCTGTATCTCTAGGCTTTTAAGAACCATTTGAACATTAAATTCTGTCATTAATAGCTCAACTTGGATTAGTTCATCTGTATGTTTATCTCCTCTTTCTAGCTGAAGAAGAGATAAAGAAGTAGTGCCAGCAACTTTTAAGTACGTTAATACTTGTTTCCTGGTTTGAAAAAGAGGCAATTATAGGCATTTATAACTAATGATCTAAGACGACTTATATAACTGATGATCTGATCTTTCCCCTCACGGTTTTGCAGAACATTTATTTTAAGAGCAAAAGAATAATCATAACGGACCAGACCAAAGTTCAGTTTCAATCAGTATCCTCTTATGACGGATGCCAAAAGGATATGGATCGGAAAGACTTAAGAAGAGGCCGTGCGTACAGTGATACTTTCTTGGTGTAATCTCCCTGCTTCAGGGAGTTGTCAGGAAATTCCTGCATCTCAAAGATAATGTCTTAATATTCAACAGCCCTCAATGGATTTTTCTTCCATTAATTTATCTAGTAACTTTCTGAACCCATGTAAACTTTGGTATCTGGAGCATCCTGTGGTAAGGAATTCTACAGCTCTAGAGCGTGCTGTATGAAGAACCACTGCTGTTCGTTTTGAAACGGACAGCTTTGATCTTCATGCGACGTCCCTACTTCTTGTGTTGGTAGAGACGACGACTAATTGCTCCTTCTTAATAGTATGAATACGATGAATGATTTTACAGTTCTCTAACCTCTCCTCTCAGTTCTGTTTCTGAGGCAGCAGAGTGCAAGTCTATTTAACCATTCCTTGTATTCCCTTACACCTCTGATTATCCTTGCCAATAATCTCTGTACCTTTACAAAATGTACTGCATCTTTTTATGAAGGGGAGGGAATATGTAGACAGAAGACCAGCTAGGACCAGCGAGGACACTACACTGCCTTTAAGATGTAGCTGTAACATGAATTTATATTCTGGCATATTTTTTGTGTTGCTCTTTATTCCTTTAATAGTAATTCTCCACATTGTTTCCTTTTTTTAAAAACTTTTTTTTTTTTTTTGCCATTTTCATGGCATAGTAGAGCCCCAAGACTGTATCTGTCAAAATCAGCCATTGTATATGTAAAATTACGGTTGTTCCCCTTTCAGTTCAATCATTTTATACAAAATTTCATCTGCCATTTTATTGTTTAGTCACACAGTAACATCACGAGGTCTTTCTGCACTGCCTATAATCAGCCTTCATCTTCACTGACCTAACTTAATATCACAAAAAAGCCGTCACCTAGCATTCATCTCTTTTGCCAGACCAATTAGTATGTTGAATGGCATGTGTCTTACCCATAATGCCTGTATGAGTCCACTAGTGACTTCCCTCAGTTGATTATTTACTCCTGTTATTTGTTTCTCACCTTTAATCCAGTTATTTCAGGTACAAGAGGCACTTCCATTTTATTCTATGGCAGCTTGAGTTGCCTAAGCCTTACACGAGGGACTTGCCTAAAACCTTTGGGGATTCTAAATACATTTGTCAGCTGGATCTTCACTGACTTGAGAGTATTTTGTAAGCTATTTTGATAGTCACCCATTCCTACTGCCATCACCCATTCCTACTGCCACAGGATGCTCCAGATACCAAAGTTTACATGGGTTCAGAAAGTTACTAGATAATTTATAGGGATGAAACAATGTATTTGGAGGGTGGGGAGGATGAAAACTCTTTTTAAGTTAGAACACTCTCTTGGCCTTGTTCATTGCACAGTCACGAGAACAGCTATGCCAGCACAACAGAGTAAAATGCTAGAACATCAGCCAAGGCCAATAAAAGGAGCTGCTTACATCAGTGTAAGTACCAAAGCTGATGAAAGATGGCAGACTTCAGCATCCCAACCTTAGACTCTGGCATTGTTGCTGATCCTGCCTTTTCTATGGGAAGATAGATTTGGTAGCACTACGGAAGCAGAGAAGTAGAAATTTATATTCACATGAAAGACGACAAAAACCTGGGAAATGTAAATCCCTTAATTTAATTTCAGAAGAATTTAGCTTATACCTAGAACATAGACAGAAATCTTCTTACTTATAATTAAGATAGGTCTGGGGATTTCTGACAATGTAACGAGCTCTTCGTCCAACAGAATGAGAAGTTTTATCTAGGGACTCTTCAAAGCTGGCGTGCATGATATCTCGAACTACTTGCCATGGAACAAAGGGCCCTTTTACCTGTGTGAAGAACAAAAATGTTCTGAATTAAACTTCAGCTTTTATGTACGCAAATGATGGTTAGAACCAGGATGAATTCCTAGGACCATGTAAAGTGTGTTGAATATGTAAACCCATTAAATAGAGGTCTTTTCAAATACCTTTGCATTTAGTACATGACTAGCAATTCGGCACAGCATGAGCAAGCTGTCTTCTTGCACTGTCCAAGTGACACGCAGACGTGTCATTCTCTGCAGGGCACTTTGGTCAGCTTCATCATGGTAGCGGAGCCTTTTGCTTTTTTCTACAGTGTTGTCTTCTAACAAATCCAGAAGAAGACAGTTAATCTCAGCAGTATATATTCTGATGAATACCAACTCCTATCACAGGTATGAACAGTGCTAATTGTGCTAAGGCAACTCCGAGGAGCAAAAGCTAGAACTGGAGACTTACTGGGCTAAATACACAGTCCTAGCTTTGGAAAACATGGCTTAAATAGAGAAGAAGCGGGTTAAAGGAATCCACAAGCAGAGGGTGACTGGGCAAAACCCAAGTCCTTTCCAGTGTTATGTTTCTGTAAGATGTAATAGAGTCAGACTATTCACTATGACACACAATAAGGGAGGTGCAATGAAAAAAACACTGAAATACCAGATATGTCAAATGTATTTTAATGATGTTATACTTGAACTGTAGGAAAAACTGAAAACTTGCTAGGGACTATGCATTCAACAAGGTGCATGCACTATGAAGGCTTATGATTTATGATTTGGAGAATACTGTAACACATTAGCAAGTGCTTTCAAATCACTATCTTCTTTCCCCAAATCCTTTTATGCTTTAATTTACACTGAATTGTCCTTAGGGCTAGGTGCTGCATCAGAACAGGAAAGGGAATAGCTTGCCTTCAAAAGAGAGCTGAAGGGCAAGCTTGAATCATCACAACTGTATTTTGCACACAAGAAAGTCAAAGTGATGTTTCTTGCGAATCAAAGCACAAAGCAACAAAACATTTCAGATTACAAAAGGGAAAGATGTTCACCTTGACTAGCGCAAGAGTGGAAGAACAAGCAATTAGGGAGATGAGGGGACTAGGGTTTTAGTTCCCACCACTAACTTCCCAGCCAATTCAGAATATAACAGTCCCCTTTCTATTGTTCCTGTATGATTTATCACCTCAATATCATAAAGACTATAGTAAGAGATAAAGTCTGCCGGGAAGAAAGTTTGTTAACTACAATCTTCTTTTTTTTTTTTCTTCTCTTTTGTGCTGCTTTTCCACCCTTGGTTATGTCATTCAAATGTAAATAGCTGATTCTGTAAGACAACACGGACACGAAGAGGAGAAGTCCAGATATGCACAGACATGCAGTGGATCAAAGAAAGCTTATATGTCTGGATGTGAATCACTAAAAGCAGGAGGAAAAGGAGTACAGGGCTGGGAGCAGTACTCAAAGTTGAGTTTGTAAGAATGAAAGAAGAAAAGCAAAGAAGGAAGTAGGCAATGGTAGCTGAGAAAGTAAAATGCATTAATGCCTTGCCCAGGAATAAGGAAACAAGCACATTATAGCAAGCAAACTGACTACAAAATATCCTCTATGGGAGGATGCTTTGAGCCAGCAAACAGAAAATGACCGTGACATTGTAATGAGCTGATCTGGCCCAGACACAGCTGGGACTTCTTTGGTTTGCACAGTACATTAGTACAACCATGACTCAAACATAGATAATAGTTACAGCATGCTCCTGTTTTTCTTTAGAGCTAGTATAGAGCCCTGTGACATTTGAGCCCTTTTCACTTGAAGGGCAACCCAAAGAGATGGCCAGTCCCAATTCCCATGCCGTGCGTCAGTCCCCATAGCTTTTCTGAAGCAACATACAGCAGGCATATGCATTGAAAAGAACGCTTCTTTTCATAACATGCATGCTAGTTACTTACCTTTCTTCTTCTTCCTCATCTTCTTCCCAATGTCTTTCTTAAGCCTCTTCCTCTTTTGGTTTTTTCCACCTCTCACTCGTTTGGTTCGATCCTGAGTTGCTTCTTTGCTCATTTCAATACATTCTTCTTTCTGGAGAAGTGACTCAGATCCTACCTTTGCTTCTGCCAGAATGTTAATTTTGTTACCTAAGATGACATGTGTTTACATTAGTGCAATTCTATAGCAATTACACTGCACAATATCAAGAGTGAATGCCAAAGCTTCAGTATATTAAAAGATGCCTTTTCAAAGCTGCCCTTTGTTAACGACGTAATTTCATGTCACTTCTCAGCAGCTTATACAGAATAACATCTCACATAAATGAAGAATGGTCAGGTAATTACTAAGTCTGGAGTAAAGTACACTAACCCAAGGGAGCTGAGTTGAGGTTTTACTATTCAACTAGAAGCTTTTCCTCCGTCTTAGCTTAGATGTTAGGCTATGCAATTTTAGCAGTGCCTTAATGAATATTCATTACAATGAACTTTTTAAAACTTACTGGAAATATAAACCAAGGCAGACTTGACAAAAATGGTTTAGCAGTTTCAGAGTTACGAGTGTTTATGTTGCACAGTCTTCTCAAGTTAATATTTAAGTAAAAGGTTGTTAATTTAATCCTTTAATCCTTTTAATTTGTCAAATGGCGTTTATAAAACCACGACAAGGTACAACAAGGCCTTTGATCGTAACTTCAACCAGACACTACAAAACAAGCTAGGGATTAAGAAAATCAGAGGTTTTAAAGTGCAATAAACCGGTTTCAAAACAGATGCCTTTGTCTAGCCATACCTACATATAACACACACCCAACAACTTGTCTGTAGGGCAACCAGAGCGTAACGTGCAATGAGTACAAGAGTACGAACACTCTTAACTTCAGTTAAAAGGTGTTACAGCTGTTTTGAAAACAGATATCTTGGTGCAGAAGTATGCACAGGCCAAATTTCAGTTCATTTAAATGTAGCACTGTCTGAAGTGTTAGAACTCTCTTACATGAGAGATTTTTCTTTTCTCATCGCCAAGTTACTGAGGAAAGTTCCAAAACCAAAGTAGTTAAAAGTTTTTCACTTTTGGAGGGTGAAATTCTGATCCAATTAAGCCAGTGGCAAACCACCCAAAAGACGGCAGAAAAAAAACCCATTCACAAATTGCTTTAGAAAATAAGGTTAGTGTTCTACACTACATGGGTACAAACCAGACCTCTGATATGATTAAGGCCTTATCAGAAAGATATGGCACATAACATGCCATTAATAGATAATATTGGCACTTCTGCAAAGTGCGCATCAGAAAGACCCAAGGATAAAATTATTGTTCCATATACCTAGAAATAGGAAAGGAAGTTTTCATTTATTTTATTGCCCCAGAAGTATCCTAGATTATTGTAAGGAGACAGGAATAACCCAAGTCATCACTGCTGAGTTTGACAAAGACGATAACACCGATAACGCAGTTACAGACAACAAGTATCATCACCTTACCTCCAGTACTGAGTGGAAGGGGATGTTTTGTTAAGAAGGTTTGGAGTCTCACTGTCAGTCCATTTTCAGAAACCGTACTTTCCTAAAACAACAGAACTTTCACTGAGGTGATATGCAAAAAGCCCAAGAGTGCACAGATTTTAACATTACTATAAACGATTATCTTTTAGGTAGTGTTATGATCAATTTAGAAGGATGTTTTTAGCATAAATGTTAGAAAGATTGCTGGCTATGATGGAGGATTCATTTATTTTTCTTATCACTGCTACATATTTCAAAGGTTCTAGAGTGTTTCCTAAATCTTACTAAAATCATCACTCAACTACAAAGGTTAGAATTTCAGCAAATCCATTCAAGTTAAAAAAATATAACTGGAAAAGAAACATTTGACTTCCTTTCTTGTTAAGGAGTCTGAGTAGAACGCTATTTTTTTTTCCAAAGCAGTCTACACTCCACATAAACTTCAAAAACCACACAACCAAAATGCAAACGCAGACCTCAGTAAATGCCTCTTATACCATATTCTATCTAGCATAACTCTGAGCCTAGACTGATTGCAAGATATTAAAACTTTTGCCATTCACAGCAAAAACCTCCCTTGCGTGGAGTTCACTGCTGATAGAAGTTGATCAAAGGAATAAAGAGGCAGGCCAAGAATAAAGAAGCGCAGGAGGTCCTGTTAGCGCTGAATAACTGTGTGACAAAATAGTAAATCAGGTTCAAAGTGAAATGATACTGCCTGAGTGGAAAATATGCAATTTTAAATTTACATATACATGCATAGGCTCTAATTTGACCATTACCGTCAGGAATGGGATCTTAGCGTTATAGCCAGTTCTGTGAAAGTATGTGTTCAATGCACAGTAATGGTCAATAAGCAAAGCAAATGCTAAGAATTCTTAGGGAAGGAGAGCATCACTATGCAGCTATAAAAATCCATGGCTGGCCACAGCCCGAATACAATATGTGATTCTGTTTCCATCTTAAAAAGGATATAGCAGAACTAGAACAGGTTAAAAGGAAGGCAACAAGAATAATCAAAGGCAGGAAGGTTCCATGCTGCAAATAGGTAAGTAATCCAGTACTTCCCAGGCTGGAAAAAAAGAGATGCTAATAGCAAACATGAGAAAGGTTTACAAAAGCACAAGCGATGCACAAAGAGTAATGGAAAAGGGTATTTTTCACCGTTTCCCTTAGTACAACTATTGAGGGCATCACAAACACCAGAGGTGCCAAGCTTAAAACTATCAAAAGGAAGTGATAACATGTAGCAGGGCTTTGAAACTCCTTGTTACAAGAAGTTTGGAGACCAAAGGTTTTCAGGTATCCAAAAAGCAATTAGACAAACTAATGAAAGAACAACAATCTATTGATAACTATGAAACATCACTACCATCCAGGTTTAGAAAGAACTTGAGCCAAAACTGCAGATATCTGGAAGAACGTTTTGAGGAAAACATCACTATACATCTTCCTGTACACGAGGTGAACACATCACGATATATCTCCTTTGCTTTTACAGCCTTTCCTGCAAATCTTTTATTGGCCACCACCAGACATTGGTCTGACCTGGGATGGACGTTCCTATTTACTTATGTTAGACTTCCTAGCGTTTTTTACTGTGTGTCCTGTTCTGCGTATTTCAGTTTTCATCCGACAACTTCTACATTCTGGGAAGGCAAGAGACACCAGTAAACAATCTTAATTTCTTATTCATGAAATATTTTCTTCTTCGGTTACGTTCAAATTTTTTCATTCACTTCAGCGCCAAGATTTACCACGCTTGCCGTTCACGTCTTTCCAATGATACAAAGCCTTACAGAGGTGCGTGTTTATGAGAAGACACGCAAGTAACAAGATTTTGCTATATTAGTTCTTAGGAATATTAAAATATAGAAAGGCACTACACAATGAATTCATTTAAAAATACTCACCTTCCTAGTCTTATTGATGATGTAGCTTGTCCAAATCCAATTGCGTTTTAAATGCCCATAAAAGCTGGAATCCAGACCTGCAGCTCCTAACCCATCCCCAGGGATAGTTCCATCATCGACCACCTCTCGACTGCCTCTAACGGAAAAAGTAACAAAACATATTAAGAAAAAAGTTATTTTGCAAGAGCAGCTGAGAAGACACTTCCTGAAAGCTGTGTGCAACGTGCAGAACTCTCCCCCCTGCCCTCACAATTTAGATAGGGTTGGAAAATAACAGCAGGAAAAAGAGATCCTCACTCCCTTAACTCTGCTCCAGAAATAGTGTGGCAACCAGATTTTTCCATTATGTTTTTATAGACAGTATGTAATTACTGAGTTTTCAGTTCTGAAATTACAAACAAAGCAACTTCGTTATTGTTAACTAAATTCCAACTGCCATGTTAAACACTGCTCTCGTTACTATTCCTGCCACAGAACTAGAGAAAATACCTGCCCAGATGAAATACTTTCTCAGGGTAACTGCGGGGAAAATTTTCACAGGAAAACTGTAGGTTATCACATGCCACGGATCATTCAAACATACTGTTAAGCACAGTTTTCTCCAGTTTTCTAACAAATACATTAAAGTTTTGTTTAAATGCACATATAAGCAAAAAAAAAAAAAAACCCAAACCCACAATATATATCTAATTCCCCAGAAAGATAATGAAACTGAGAATGAATGGCATGTAACAGATGAACCAGAGCCCTTCCTGCATGACTGGAAGCGGCTCAGTTAAGGTGGTGTTATAGTGCAGGACCAAAAAAAATAAGTGCTAAGTGTCCTATTTATAAAGAAAAAAAAATCATGGAGACAACACCTGCTTTGTCAAATAACTGGAACTGTGAATGACCTTTACGTGCCTAGTAGGTAGCATAGGTCTGCCAGTTTAGTACGAACACAAAAAAAATATTTTGGAAATCCTGTTTCGCCTTAGGAAAGATTTGTTGAGAGCTACCATGAAAGAAGGATTTCAGCCAAGCTTTCAGTTAACAATTCTTTGATAGAAACATTACATCACCAATTCCATTAAAAAACTGTTTCTTGATCTTAGAGAAGTTGCAGTCATCTCCATTATGCAAGTCATAACCATTTAAAAAGACTTTGTAGCTCATAATGGAGACCATATGAAAAAGTTTACAAGTGGACTGAACAGAATTTGATCTACTAGCATGGACCAGTGGAATTAGGGCCCCTCAATTTTTTTTTAAGGTTAACTTGATATATCTGCCTGTAACACTGAACTAATTGAAAATACTTTTAAACAGACTGTTTATAGCTTATTAAAACAGAATAGAGTATTGACAACAAGACCAAATCACACCACACAACACTCAACATAAAAAGTGTAACTGCATGGTCAACATAGGTCACAAAGCTGCAGTCTTCTCAAGTTTCTGGCTGTGATTAGGCAGAAGATGAAGCGTTCCAGAGGCTACTTCCAGATATCATCAGTTTACACTAATACCATAATAGGAATTAATCTGTAAACAATATGCAGCAAATTGCAAAGCAGACTTTAGGATGTGATTCTAGGGAGCTTCTGAAGCTACGTGTTCCTTGGGACCCGTAAGGCATTGGAGCAGATAATCTTTAAAATTTTACCTTGCATTAACTATACTTACCATTCTTTTTCTCTCCACTTTGCTTTCCCAGAAGACTCTTGCAACCCATGTCTGTGCTACTTTGGAAGGAAATCTCAATCTGGTTTTCCCACTCAGCTAGCATAAAAACCTGCTTGGTAGATAACTTACCTGTAAACATGATACATAACTACCCATCCTTTCAATTAGATAGCCTCTGTATTGCAAAAAAACACCAACTGAAATGCTAGCATCTCAACCACATTTGCTGTTAAGTAACATTCTCAAAACTAGAATGGTTATTTTTACCCACTCTATTTAAGCAACAAAATAAACAGGAAAAAGACATACGTGGTGTATTCCAACATCGCACACTTTCGTTCCAGATTGTGCTTATCCACTGCTGACTCCTGTTCCATTTCTACATCTAGCGCAGTGCCAGTCTCCTCTCCTTGAAGATTACTTCTCTTTGAGCGAGGATAGCGGACAACTCCTAGGCATACACATGGTTTTGACTATCAGGATGAGAAGCGAGATTTTAATCCATCCACACCACTACGGAAAACCACTGCACCCTCTCCTTAGGGAAGGATGCTAATATTTTTAGCACCTCTCTATAAAAGACGCTACTGCCTTACAGATGCTAATGGCCTTCCAGTTAATCTCCTGTACAATGTGCTAACTTGCCCAAACTGTATTCAGGACAGAAGAGTAGGGGGGCTGGTACTGTTTATAAGTAGAAAATTGCAGCAGTTCAGTGACATTCTAGACATAGATCACAACCCTTAAGATGCGAGCCCTTAAAATGAGATGTAAGCACTTCATGTTGGAGATATATTTGGGATATAGCACAGGAGACACTAGAAGGTTCACAGAAAATACTTTACTGAAACACAACAAAGCTTCTATAAATAAGTGAGCTGGTGAAACAATATCATTCCCACATTTTGGATGCCAAAAGTATTCAAGGTCTGATCAGCTTGCGAGAGCTGCAACAATCACAAAATATGCTACAATATGACAAATGTGTAAAGAGCTTTTGCAGAAAACTGCTCTGATGCAAAAGTAAAATAAAATTATGAATAGATTCTTTCCCTTGGGTGACTACGTTACAGAAATACAGAAAAGTGTTGTCTGGCATTTCAGGTGCTTCTTCCTCCCCGCCTTTTCAAATCAATGTATACATGTTGTGGCTGCATACCCTATTTAAAGAAGTAAAGGACCAAACACAAACTCCCAAATACTGGGTTTCATAAACTCCCTTAACTTCTACTTCAGGCTATTTATTAGAAGGTTCAGCAACATAATTCTAAGAAAAAGGAACCTCCATATCAACCGATAAAGATAACTATGGCAAAAAATACTGGAAAATAGTTACTACTGGTAACTATTTTTGAAAAAGCTTTTTCATGGTTAGATTGAATTTTAACATGGCCATGATCAAATTTAATACTTCTGACAGGATAGCAATGTTTTCCCTTTAATGCTGCTCTGAGGATATGAAATGTATAATTCTGATTCTTGGATCTCAGCTTCATAGAATTACATGGGCAGAACTCCACGTTCTAGCTTTTTTCGGTCCCTAAGGAGACCAGTCAAGAGAGCACGACAGCGGAAGTGCCAAAAAGAACCTGCCTTATGTTGTGGGAGAGGAAGAGGAATTGTGGTATGAATGGAATAAAAGGTAAAGGTGGTAAGGATGTACAGTTTTACCATACCCAATGGTGTATTAAGGCAGACACACTGCAAATCAAACCAGAAGTTTTCCACGTCTTGCATGGTACTCAGAACATATAAGCGTCTCTCAAATGGGCGGCTACTTTGAGCCAGGTTATAGTGAGGGTCGCAGATAGTGGTATCAACAATCACTGCATTTCTCTTCATATACACAAATACCTGTCAAATACAGTATGTTAGGTACGGTATGTTTTACCTACAGTATGGTAGGTAAAAATCACTGGAATTGCATAGTTGGCAGGACAAGCAATTTAAACTAGTTCAGGAGTAGTTAAAACTTGCTAAGTCTTCGCTATTTTGAGCCAATACTCTGATAAGAGACAGACAGACAGACACATAGATAGATACACTCACACTGCAATGCATTCCTAAACTTACTTTGCCAACAATCCAGAAATTTCATTTCTGGATTGAGAATGACAGTTTCTTTTTCTCCTTGCGCACCAGGACTATTCCAAGTTTCCAGAGAGAATGATTATTTTCTACAAGCTTTCATTCAGAATTTGATCTGATTTGGGGCCTAATTAGCTTTCTTATTCTTATAAAGCATATATATATGGTGTGTATATATATATATATATCTGCATATGCATGGTGTTCTCTCTTGCATGTGCTCCATATTTGCAAAAAGATCTGCAACAATGTCACCCATTTTACTCTGTGTTAGCCACCCAAGGCCTAACACCATTTTAAAGATCGTTCTCACCTGTCCTCAGCTAGTACACACCATTAGTTTCCTTGAATTAAATGAGAATTTAACTTGTCTGTGGTATCCCTACAAGTAGGTTCCTCATGCTGCCATTACATAGCCGAAGTAAAGTCTAAAATAAAACTATTACCCTCAGTTCCTTTATAAAGGAAGGACGTAGGAGAATGTAGCACATATGTTTAAACGCAAAGGTCATATTTCATAGTAGGGTCCCTGGAGGCCCTTTCAGGGCTTTCTTCACCCAAGGATTCAAATGGCATCCCAGTTCAGTGGGATGGAAGAGAATGCGACACACACATTCTTCATAGCAGGCTACCACACTGGAAATTTCCAAGTCATTGCTATGTGCTTTCAGCATTATGGGTTTGAGACATCTTTCCAGAAAAAGAGGCTAAAGTTATCTGCATAACTTGCAGTATGTCACCAGGAATTTGAGGTTTGCATATACATCTGAAACATCAACTTTTTACTTAATTATTTAAGGCAAGCCCAAGCCCCAAAACTCATTTGTCTCACTGAGCAAATACCATGCAGAGTAACGATTAAGATCTCAAAAAATTACCTGATCTTTGTCTTGAAACTTCTCTGTTGGACCAAACTGTACTAGTCCCATATAACACAATCTCTGAAGATTTTCTACCACTGAAAAGATGTACCTCCTGCAGAAGCATTACAATTAGTACTCGTGAGTACAGTGATTACAACGATACCAGCAAACGTTATTATGGAGCTGCCTCAAGTTTCAGGAAACTTGCTGCTTTTTGAAAAATACTGGGTTTCAGAATTTCTAGAGTGATATTTTCTTTGAATCATCAGCCTGTGGAAAACATATGAAACCCCAAAGCCCAAATTTCCTTTCCTCAAATCAGAAACACTACTATTTTAGCTGATTAATGGCAAAATTTTGTTTTCAAAGAACAAAATTTGCCAGAGATACTGAATGTACCAATGAGTTAAAGAAGGTCAGAACACAAGCAGAACTGTAGACAATTTTGTATTATGAAAAGAAGTGAGAACAAGTGAGAGGAAATGATGGTAAATATGGGCTGACAGAACTTCACATATATCCATACAAAGAAACGGGCAACAATCCTTTGAGATTTGTAGTTAAGGTTGTTTAGAACTACCTGCTCTAAGACACTGCTTTCAGTTGCTTATAAGCTTCAGCAAAGCAAAAAATGTCACATTTTCCACACTGTGTATCTACCTATTGTTACTTTTTTTTTTTTTTTAAAAGGAAAACTGTAAAATTCTAGAAGTTTTGGGAAGCTTTTGCAAGATCTAGTTTCTGAGACAGAGTTTAGGAAAAATCCAATTTTGTCCACATTTAACTTCACTAAGCTCTAAGTTTGTCTATACTGTTAAATAGGACTTGTATTTTGGCAGGAATGTTCTGTAAGGTTCAGAAAGATCATTTGGCAGTCCCACAAATAACGACCCAATTTGGTAAAGTCAGAAGTTTTGATGAATGGAGGGGCAAAGAGGCAATTTGACTATGTATCACACTGATTTGCACACAGCTATCAGATGGAGTTTGCCAGTTTCAGAAAATTTCAGAAATCCAGGTTGCTTGTTACTAAGATTTAGGAAGTAATACATTAGGAACTGGAAACCTGAGACAACTACATCAGATTTTTCTGAAGAGAAACCAGTGCCATAAGAGAGACTAACCTGACCACAAGTCTTCGCAGCTGACACTGTCTAGCACTGCTCTCTTGCCAAAGACATGTTTGCAGATTTGCAGAATGTCGTAAAAGCCTCCAACCAACCAAATCCATACCTGTGGCAATGACTTCCTGGGGGAACTAACAGCATTACTACAAACAGTAATGGAGCTCACAATAGTGCTGCTAGTTCCACGTATTCAAGTCACTTTGCTTTAATGTTGCTTTCCTTCCTTTTCCTCAGTCCAATCTCAGTTTCTAAATCTTCTAGATGAGGAATGGTAAACAATGGCGGACATGCCACTGAGAGCACGTGGGTAGAATCTAAATGGTATGTATGAGAGGCTGGCACTGGGAAACGTGGCATCTTCTGAGAGATTTATGAAGGACAGCAACATTTAGACTCTATTAAATTCTGAATTTAGCAGCAGGAGTGTGTTTTGAACAGAAGCTGTTCATCCTGTTGGTGAGTTGTGAAGGACAGAGTCTCCCAGCTCTCAAAGACTGCCTGTCAGCATGCATGAATATTGTTCATTAATTTCTTATTACCTTCTATTTGAGAGAGGAAAATACAATTTTGCAGACTATCCTTCGAAGACTGATGACCCTTGTTTTAGATTAAAGTTCTCTTTAACACAAATAGAAATAACTGAGAAAACAGTCAACCACTGCTGTTCCCTCCCTACAGCCATTTACTTTGACTCATCTGCTTACCTTTTATAGAGAAGCTGTTGTCGGACTGACCTTGGAAGAAATCTGATCAGTGTGTGCTTTTTCTGTGGATCATGTAAAAAATCCTCAAGGCCATCCACCTAAAATTATTTTATAAGTTAATCAAAAAGGGAAAGATAATTATCCTTTAAAGTATCAAGCTTTCTTATCAGAACTGCCTACAGAAGTATTTTTGAGCAAGTATTACTGCTTTTGTAAAATGGTTAAACATTATTCAAGGCCAGCAAAAGGCTGATTAAAGGGATGATTAAAGATGATTAAGGGACTAGAGTGTATCTCAAATGAGGAAAGGCTGGGAGAACACTGAGGGGGGATCTTATAAATGCATATAAATATCTGAAGGGAGGGTGTAAAGAGGATAGAGCCAGACTTTTTTCAGTGGTGCCCAGTGACAGGACAAGAAGCAACGGGCACATACCGAAACACAGGAAGTCCCTTCTGAACATAAGGAAAAACTTTGTTACTGTGAGGGTGACTGAGCACTGGAACAGGTTGCCTACAGAGGTTGTGGAGTCTCCATCTTTGGAGATATTCAAGAGTCGTTTGGACAGAGCCCTAGGCAACCTGCTGTAGGTAACCCTGCTTCAGCAGGGGGCTTGGACTAGATGATCTCTAAAGGTCCCTTCCAACTTCAACTGTTCTGTTATTCTGTGATTCTCATGTTAATCAACTAGGCAGGTTACAAAAAGCTCTTTGCAAAATATTACCTGAAGAATTTCCTGCATTACAGGGCTATACATCTTTTACAGTGTGGCTATAAAAGCAACTAATTTTTATTTAAAAGAAACTATCAATAATTAAAGTCTCTACTCGCTACTGGTGAATTTTGTTAAAACAGACTAATAGGATATCTGTTACTGTTTACAGGTACAGCAGCTACTATTAGATTTTACATTGAACCAAACGTGAAACAAAGAAAAAGCACTATACCTTGTAGCTGACTTGCACTATCTGAACAAAGATGGAGAGAGGCAAGCAGAGAAGAATGTCACTAACAAGAGCCCATCCAAATCCAAACTCTCTATGAACTGGGAGAGGAGGGACATAGCGCATCCATGACGCATCATCCACGTACACTAAGAACAAGAAGACCGGCTTAGATTCAGACAGGGCAAACCAGGGCAAACTTCATTTGGACATCGGACACAAGGAAACACAGAAGGCTAAAACAAGGTCTACCTTTTAATGAATTTTACTGTGAATGTTCAAGCAGAACACATTTGGCAGTTCATAGAGTAGAAATCTGAAAATCTAAAATGACCTAAAAATCATCTAACTCACAGATTTTCAATCTTTTTTTGCAGAGGACTTTTGCAGTTTTTTTCAGTGTTCGTGAAGTCTCTTGAAAAGCACGTTTAAGCCTACTGACAATAAGTTTGCTTTTCTTTCTTAGCTTACACAGATATTTTAGCGCATGGCTGAAAACCACCAATGTAATGCATTCTCATGCTTTGAAATATGAAAAGGATACCTACACCACCCCCATAAAACTTATTTTTCCCCCAAGACAATCTGTTCCATGGCTCACCTATCCTTACAATATGAAAAAATCTCCTGGATACCCAATGCCATTATTTCTTTTTCTACACCCAACAGCATGGAGAACAATTTATCAACTACTTCTAACATCCTTTTTCACCTTGACAGACATGTATCCTCTCCTCCTTACTACATCTTTTTGTATAAGAAATAGAAGGTGGCAACATTTTTTAGATGAACTTAATAGTACTTATGGAACTATGGTTTCAGTGTGGACCTATCCCTACTGAAACTCAATTTCACTCTAGACCATCTCTCCAATTAATTTAAGATCATTCTGAATTCAAATCCTGCTCTCCAAATTACTAGCAAACCTCCAGCTTGTTATCATCCACAATTTGAACCTACTTTATTGCATTATCCAAGTAATTAGGAAAAATATTAATTAGGATTGGAACCAGAACAAAGACCCTATATGACATTCAATCTGAGAACAAGCCATTAATAATCTCTGAATACTTTTTTCCTAGCATCAAGCCTTTGTGTTCCTACCTTAAAGCATTTTCACTGAAATCATATTCTCAGTTACGGAAATATGATACTGAAGCAGAGCAAAATTTGTGGTAAAGCTAGGATGTGCCACCTCTCACCTGTTTCATTAGACAATTCTACTTCAGTCTCTTGTGCAGTGATTTCGGGATTCACCACAGTTGTCATACTTTGTACAGTCCCATCTGTTTCCTCTGGTCGGGCTTGAAGTGCAGCAGCATTCACATCCAGCCCTTGCTTGTTGCCTTTTTTCTCACCATCAGCACCTAATTTTTGTCGCGTTCCATTTAAAGGGTGACCATAAATTAAGTACCAGAGGAACATGTGGACCATTCTTAAACGGGGCATTTTGGGAAGAAAGCCAAGAGAACGCCCAAGCCCTGGAACTGGGAGAAAAGATTAAGTGCCAAACAGAAATTAAAAATGGATTAACACAGGTAAAATAGCTAACTCTGCATAACTGATGTGAAGAAAACTGGAAGGAAAGGTGGGCAAATGAAGATAAATTTAAGTTATGAATGGCAGTGAAGTAGTAATAAATGAAAATGCTGCATTTCACAATTCTAAAGAAAAGTCAAAGGACATTGGACAGTGCTCCCTAGCTGAGGCTGCCTCTAATATAAGACATCTCTACAAAAGAAGAACAAAAACAAAAAATACACACATCTTACAACACATCTGAGAGTGGCCATTAATAATAGAAGGGGAAGCGAAAGATGTCAGAAGAACAAAGTTAAACGTACCTGTAACAGGGTGGTAATTTTTTAACTGTGTTATGCCCATTTTTTCATCACTTTTCCTTGCCCGATTATTATTTTCAGCTTTACAAGAGCTTTCCTCCGTTTCTCCGGAATCAGGAACAGCCTCTTGCCCCAGATTTTCTTCCTCAGCATGCTCCTGGGATGTCGGTGTCTGGGGAACTTTAATCCTGTATTAAAACCACACAGCACTTTGGTAGAACTCAAGCAGACACTCAAGTCTTATCTAAATCGAACAGAGATGGCATCACTGGGGCTGATGACTAAAAGAAATGCAAATCTCCTCTTTGCAAAAGGAGGATGGCTTTGAACTTGCTTCCATGAAATGATATTGAATAAGAGTAGCATTGATTCCGAGGACTGAAGAGGTCCTTTTATGGGTTTATTTGGAAAGATAAACCAGGCAATGGAATTTATCATGCACAACTCTGTTCTCAAAGACAAACAGCTTGATAGGAGACTCCTTGTGCCTTATGTCTAGAAAGATTAATAGAGGACAACTAGAAGCTTGTGATTTTCATTTGAGAATGCATAAATAGTCCCTGAAGAAGTGATCAAAACCTCCTCTTAGGGAAGTGGCCTTATGAGGCTACACAATCACGTTCCTTGATTATGCTTTGTCTCCAAACTCATGGATCTTACACACTCTGCTGCCCAGGGGACTGGTGCTTGGACAATGATCTCAGCCTACACTTAGGACTAACATGCTGAGAAGTAGAAGATGCAAACTGGAATCCCCTCAGATCCTCCTCCTCATAAGAAAGTGCTCAAACTACCAGATATCAGCTCCAGCTCATCTTCCTTTGGTGGATGTTTTAAAGGAAAAGGGTGAACCAGTTTTCTCCAAAAGGCACCTAAGGCTTGCAAATGAGCCAAAAATTGAAGTTTAAATCTTTAGCAAATTAGTAAGTTAATGTCTATACTGGAATTAGTAGTCTCTCTGTGAGGATTTGTTTATCTGCCCACATTTCACATAGGCAAGCAAATGCCTAAGTCTCAAAAGAAACACAGCTGGAATTTATTCCTTATTCAACCATAGCATTCTCCTATTTCTGTCTGCACCTACAGTGAATCGCACACTTTGTCCGAACACCACACCAGGATTATTGGACTAACCCAGGCTATAAGTCCACTACTAACCAAAGGACCAAAAATTAAGCAGCTTAGTTTGGCCCATAGATAAGCCTCATTCTCTGTGCATGGGTAAGACTTTTTAAATAGGGCTGTTCCAGACTAGCTGGGCTAGTGACACACCAAGAGAAGATAGCCTCTCTGAAATGCATACAGCAAAAGGAGCATGGGGAAAACTAAACCTTGAAGTTGAGGCTTAAAGTTCAAGGGATCAGAATTCAGTTGCTCTCCTCTCACGATTTTGGGAGACATTCAGGATGTTGCTTTATCCTCGCACTTTGATTTCTCTATTGCTAAAGATAAGGCTAATTTTTCTTTTGCTTACGTTGTATTTATTTCCTCCATATGTTTTTGCATGTATTAGACATAATAAGCCAAGTTCCACACAAATCATACAGATCGTTGCAACTTGCCTGTTTGCTGTGCTTGAATTGGAGATTCGGAAACGCACCTGCTCAATGGCACTTTTTACAAGGGGATCACTAGGACTCACAGAAGGATGAACAACAAACTCTACCTGTTTAGAGTAGCAGAAAACAAAAGCTAGTTATGGTGATATTGGCTCTTAATCAGCTGCATAATTTATCAAAGGTTAACAGCCAGTTAATTAAGGGTAGCCACAATGGATGTCCTATGCATCCTGTAAAGTTTTCATAGTTCACAGAATGCTAATGCTGTTGGAGCAAAAATCCCATTGTTTATCTATGAAGAGGCTGGGTTGCATGGTCTCTGTACGAATAAACAGCCATCTCATATGTTCAAGCTTCCTTTTCTTTTTTATCCGAAATATTTTGGGAAGAAAAATTTGAACTTGCAAGTATTAGGCTGAAAAATATGAATGAAATCCCATGCTTCATAACATGAAACTGATTCATTATTGCTGAAAGTGTACACACACACGGTTCAGGTAAGTAAGTTTTCATATGTGCTTTACAGTAATTGTGCAGCAGGTAATTTTCAATAGATTGTTTCTATCCCTGCTTATGAACATATCACACTAATAAGTTACATGACAACTGTCTGTTTTATAAAACAAAATTAAACTACATACATTTTGCTTCCATAAAGCTTCCATAAAACGCAAATAATGGAATTTTTTTAAAAAAAAAAATATATATATATATATAAAAAATAGATCACATGCTATAAATTTCAACTCAGAAGTTAACTAATGATTTCTCATATACCCCTAGATTTCAGAAGTGGATTAAACACAAATTGTGTTGCAGCTTGAACAGCACAGGGAGACAACCATGAATTGTGTGTTTGACAAACAGCTGAACCTCTTAAAAGGGAGATTTAGAGATTTTTATCTCTAGACCATTTCTGGGTCTGGGAACTATCTGGAGCACGATAATTGAAAGTACTGATCTGGTTTTCATGTAGCTTGGTTTAGGACATGTAGCTTGTGGGCAGCTCAACTGTGAGCTCTCCTACAAAAAGTAAAGTCCTCCAAATATTTCAGAAAAAAGGCTCAAAACACTTTGCTAGAGCTTTGCTAAAGACTAGGAGAAAAGCTGCTTCTGTTGCCAGAGTTGGAGCAGTCACCTTTTTACTAATGCCATCTTGAATGACTGTAGTACGATAGAGTCTGAGGAGCCCTTCTCGTGCAAGCTTCTGCACCAATCGGATGATAGACTTTTTGCAGCATTTGGTAGAGACGCCTTCTTGCTTCTCTTGATCCATGACCATTTTTTGAAGCCTAGAAGATGAAAAAAGCACCCTGTATTTTAAGCCCAGCAATGCTCCAAACTCCAAGTAGTTCTTCCCTTGTAGTAGTCTGCAGAAACATGCTTACAGCCTATCTCTAATGCTTGTTTTCATATACTTTTGCACAAGTGTCCCAGGCCCTGTTTCTGACTCTTTTAATCTTGGAAAAACAGTTCTGAACCTGTTGGCAGCACTGAAGGAGACAGCAAAAATTTGAAATAGCTTCTAAACCTGTTCCTGGTTTTGGCTAGATGACCTGTGATGATGCCACGTGCCATATACACCAGACTACAGTTTCACAACACTTTGCAAGCGGGCTAGATGACAAAAGTCTCAAAATTATCAAACTGGATGAGAATAAGGCCATGATTTCTTACTAAATTCCTTTGGAAAGCAACCCTGTGTGTATTTATGTGCCAGGATCTTACATGCTGACATGAAAGATGGGATGGTACAATCGGATCTGCCACAAAAGTGTCTGGTCAGTCTGGAAGCTGGGACTCCAGGAGAGCACCAGAATTTTCATTTCTCTTTGAATGGCATCTTAAGAGGCTGAAAGACGTTATAACACTCAGGGAAATCTCTCTAGCCCAGACAAGACAAGCCATGAGAAGACATATAACCATCCCACATAAAATGGAAAAAAAATGTAATCTTTTGGGCCACCACTAGAATCCAGGAAGCCAGTGATGACTGATTGACATGAAGATAAGAGTCTCTACCATCAATGACAGAATAACAAAAGATAAAATTTGAAACAAAGCAGAAATCAAATAAAACATATGCAGATGAATGCAGGGAAGTGCTGCATCTTACTATGTAACCCCAGGCACTGGCATACTGTGAGGGGAAAAAAAAGTTCTCTGATCTTTATTGACAGGACATATGATGTATAAAAATCAACTTGCACAATCATCTGCAGAGAAACTATTGTTGCTTCCAAACAGCTGATTCATTTTTAAGCTTCAGTATAACTGCACTACAGCCCTTCTCCCTCCCATCTGCTATCCTTTTCATCTTTATAGAATGTAAAATACTGCTATAAGGGACAAGAAAAGCTAACAATGGACTAAACACACATCATTACTGCTAAAGCAGTGATTATACCACCACAATGCATAAAGCCCCTATTACATGATTTTCAGACAGACTCACGTGAACAAGCTTTCAATTAGCCGGAGGTTTCGGACAGCTTCCACAATGAGATTTCGACGCTTCAGCAGCCTGTATGTTTCATGAGATCGCTCCACTACTGTTGCTCTGGATCGCTTTTCCTTCTTCTTTTGGCCACAGGTCTTTTCATACACAATACGGAGAAAATAAAAATGTTACACAAATTATCCAATGTCAGTAGCCTAATGTTAGCTCCTCACACAATTGCCTTAGCAATTCAGTGTTTTGATGTATTTATTTGTAACAAACCCTAGCCATCGGCCTTAGTCTTAGGCAGAGGTTTATGCATTCTGTCTGCCCATGTTCCTAGCCAGTTGAACTTGAGAGTTTTGGCAAAGAAAGCTAACTGCATTAACATAGCACTGAGTCCAAGTCAACATAGCCTGCCCCTCAGAAAGGCTTCTTATCTCAGGCTCAGTCCTGTGAGGACTCAGTGGTAGCGAGGCTGCACAGCTTACATGTCCAAGACCATTTGCACCACCTAGTTTAGAGAAGGCAGATCAGATGAAAGGCAGCACTTGTGTGCACAGTCAAACATAAAACTATGACATGCGTTAAGTCAACATAAGGAATATGTAGAGTGTGAAGGAACTAAACCCAGCACTGCAGTTTGGATACCTACCTTCCCAACCACTCAAATATTTTAGATTTTAGGTTATAATTACACTGCACCCAAAGTATGGATGTGGTTTCCTTAAGAAATTCCTAATTTAACTTTATATAGCTGCAGCACCACTAACAATACAGTTGAGGCAGCACAAGACCCAACGTGGCATGTTCGGGATTTTTAGCAGAAAAAGCCATTTTTAACAAACTGCATGCATTGGAAAAAAATCTCCATGCCTAAAAGAAAAACGGAATCATTACAGATTCTAACAATGAATACGCATAGAACCACATGAGTGCACAGAAATATGGAAAGATGAAAAAAATGAAATTAAAAAAAAAAATCAATCCCTTAAAGGAGCACAAAAACAATAGCTTGAAAACTTGCTGTAGGTGTACGTAACTGTTAGCTCAGAGAGCAATACCAACAATAACATGTTAAATATCAAAATGTGTGATCTTACCCTGGGGTCTTCAAGTCTGACCTCCTCAACCACAGCCACATCCCCATCTTCATCAGTGGAATGAGCGTAGGTGGAAAGACTGGCCTCCTGCTTCAAAGCTTCCAAAGTAGAATTCTCCCCTGATAAGTTGTCTGGTGCCTCATACTCTTCAGGAATACGAGGGGAAGGCAGCTTCTTCCCTACAGACTTCACAGCTGCTGGCTTTGAGCCTGGTTTAAGAGTAAAAAGCCAGAAAGGGGGCCTTGTAACTGTTCTGCTCTTACAAATTCCTGCAAATGTTCAGCTTCTCTCTCTACATTAAAGGTCTTCCATTGACCACATAGGGTAGTGTACTTGAAAGCATACTGCTCCATTTTTCACATATCTTTCTTCCCTGCTGGAAGCAAGGATTTGCTCATAAATGATTGCACTTGGTCTCTAAAAGTTTAAAAAAAAAAAAAAAAAAAAAAGAGTGAGTTCTGAATGTGCATTCTACAAATTACGCTCTTCTCCAGGCAGAAGCCTCTTCCAGAGGCAGACTGTTCTATGGCCATGAGGGGCCAGATTAGCTTATCCAGGAACTGCTGTCTGAAGAAAGGGGAGTTTCTGTCTCTCAGATTCTCAGGTTCTGCCAGAAACCTGATAGGAAGGACTCTTACTAAAAGCAGAATGAGAACAAGGATTTGGTATTACTCCATCAGATATGGAGATCTGCTCTCCTCTCTTCCCTGGAGTTCATTCGAGGAGTGGTAGGAACGTTCAAAGGGTTACAATAAACCACCATCCCCTCCAAACTCTGTCCTCAAGAAGTAGACAGCTTTTGCCGAAAGAGGCTCTAAATCTCTCAAGAGAAAGATGAAGCAATCTGCTTCTTGAGACATATTGTGTTACAATATGCTTAAGTGAATGAGGTTGAGGGTCAGTCATCCCAAGCCTACTGCTCAGGTCGTTAGTTGCCATCTTACCTGGTCTCAAGTCACGGAGACAGTATAGGGCTACACGCATTCATTCTACTTAAAGTTTTGTGACAAATACACTTGCCTACGTACAGATGCAGAATAGAAGGCTCAATACCATACACATCCAACTGAAAAAATACGGCTGAAGAGGTAACAATTTTAGATCCGTTTTGATTTGAAAAAATGTTAATTAGCTGGTCTTGTCAGCTCCTGTGTTATCTCCTGCATCTAAGATATTTGCATGGAATAAAACAATGCATTTTAATGAGAGGCACAGCTTACCTACCTCCTTATTGAAGGAGAAATAAAACATGTTTCAAGAACTATAAAGTCTGTCCAGACCCTTTCTGCAGTCTTTGAGGACTTTAAAAGCTAGTGCTCTCTAGTGGACATAACATAAGAGGGTGCTCTCTAATGGAAATAACCTGAGCTGTAAGTTATTTTGAAAAACAGGGCCCATGACAGACACCTTGTCAGTGCCTCCTAGAACAACTAAGGGAGATAAATTTATCCAAGGCTATGGCTCCTGCCAGTAGCAACTGGCTGCTAGCTGTCATGATTTCCCCATTGTGATTGTTCCTAGCCACATGGTCCTGCCTGCTTCCTTGCAAGAGTTTTGAAAATTCATCTGACCCTCTGCTGAATCATCTCAGCTCTTCAAGCCACCTGAAAAAATTCTGCAAATACAAAGAGCAAGCAAGGTGTGTGAGCCCATTTCATTTGCATGCGGCAAAGGGGAGAACTGGCTTATGGTTAAGGAGAGGCAGATGTGTTTTCCTAGTGATGAGCGATAACCAGAAGGTTGCTCTGGCACACAGAGACATTGGAACACACTTCAGCCCTGAGAATCCCCAGAGTTTATCACATCTACAGTATTCCAAAACAAAGCAAGATTTGGGAAAAGAAAACATCAAAAAAGCAAGGAAATACTGGAATAGACGTAAAAATAAATTTAAGATCAAACTAAAACTTAACGAAGCTAATAGCATATGAAATTTATAAAAAGAGCCATCAGAAAAATGCAGGATTCTCTCCAAATCTCCATGATCTACCTTTAACTGGTGTTGACTGATGGGGACCACCTTGGAAACTTAATTTCAACAGAGAACTTGAGTTGGCCTTCTGACCTTTTCCTTTCTTCTTGCTGTATTTCACTTCCTCTTCATTGTCAGACTCTGAGAGAAAGGTGTCTTCTTCTCCAAGAGACATATCTTCCACAGGCGGGGAATCTTCCGGCACTAGACCCAAAGTAACTGTAGCTAACTGCTCACTCCGAGCCTTCTCTCTCTCAAACTGACGGTTTAAATCGCTCTCTTCTGCAAAAATGTATGAAATATACTTTGTTGTCCTCTGACGACCTTCATCCTCCATAAAACCCTAAAAAATAGTATGAACATTATTTTACTACCTTACTTCTCCATCCTCGCTGTCTGTCCTCCAGTGTCAGCAGTGGGAAAATTTTCCAGCTGTTCTCCGCTCATATCAAAATATTATTGTCCTTTTTTTTTTTTAATAACAAAAACGTTAACCAAACTCAGCATATGAAAAACAAAAGAATATTCTATCTGAAAAACAAATACATTGGTATTCCCTGCATATTAAAATGAAATGACCACAGTATGTGGGACGTAGAAACACCTAAGCAAGAACAAACCATAAGTATTGAGACTGGAAATCAATTTTTTTTTTTTTCAGAAAACTTTTCTACAAAATAACTGCAACATAAAGGTTATCAAATTGAATCAGACTTGGGTGACGCTGCTGTTATCCTGTCTACTACATCTGGTGCTTTTAAGCATCTGGAAACCTGAACACTTAGCCTATCAGTGAAGAAACGTTTCTTCTTCGCATTTGACTTAGATAAAAGTATATTTAAATACTCAAATGATTTATGCATTTTTTTTAGCTCTACAAAACTTTTTACCAAATGACAAAATCTTATTAAAACAATGCTCTACTGAAGGAAGATGGCAGTTACTGAATCTCTGTGGGAGGGGAGGAGGTATGTGTTAGAAAGGACAGCTAAAGTATGTTTATCTGTAGGTCAAACTTGTTGGAGTGAAAATGAAATAAATAATCAGATACCCGGAAATAAAGAGCTTAACTACCATAACCTCTATAAAAGTATCTGATTTTTCAGAACGTATTGACGCTTTCAAAGGGCAAGTAGAGCCATAAAACTAGACCTACAGAGAGGCCTCCTTCAGTAGAGACGTTAAGGAGAGTAATTAGTGTTGCAAAATAAAAGTTGTCTTATAGTCAAAGATGAACCAAAACGGATATTTTGAGTTGAGACACGCTTAAGCTCATCTGCATAAAGAACCAGCCCACAGGAGGTGCAGACTTCCTACCTCACTCAGGTTACCTAAATCAGTTACTGCTATCAGTGGGAAGTGGTTGAGGCCACCTGAGGCAGTGTTGAGGCCTATTTCTCTGCCCTGGCTTGTTTTGGAGGGTGAACCTGCTTCATAGTGCTGAGGACAACGTTACTATGGAACGCGGTGAAGCTGTGCCTAGTAGAATCCCACTAGCTGGGCTGGATCACCAGAATATTTATTCTATACAGTCAGCAGATATAAGACAATGTGCATTTTTTCCCCAATCTTAATTACTTAAGCACCCAATCACAGATAGCAAGAAAAACCAAATGAAAAACGCTTGTACATCTAGGTCATTGAACTATTAAACGTCAGGTCATCTAACCAGAACAAAAACGTGCTAGGAGACCAGATATGTTAGATTCTGCCAACTAGGCTTAGTCCTCAGGCTAGTTATAGCAGGTTAAAATTCTGCATATTTTAACTGAATACTTTCTGAACACTTCCCTTGCATCCCTTTTCCTCAATGGAAGTCAAAATCTTTTCTATCTCACCAAAACTCTTTCACCGTCAATTGTCAAATCCCTTCCATTTCTGCTTTATGTGGCTAGCAACGTTTTAACATATTACCACAGTAATCACAATTGTAACTCCAGTTTAAAAAAGTACCTGAATTATTTTATTTTGACATTACCTTGACAACTTTGTATCTCTCCAGAAGACGACAGAGCATTCGTGCTTCTAGCTTCCCCACATTCATAGCCAATCGAATTTCTGCCTGAGAAATACCTTTGGTTCCTCTGCTTTCAACTATTTCAGAAAAGAAAATCAGATAACATCTCAGAGAAATAATATGCAGAGAAATGTATGCAGATGCATACATTTGTATATACATTCACTTTACTCTGAATATCTGTCATTAAGTTAAACTTGTCTTAAAATCTATGTAATTTGGAAACATATGCCAGAATATGAACCTTAACATTCACCACTAAAAAAAGGCAAATAAAGACATTTTCATAGGCACGCAGAATATACAATCAAATACTGCCACAGAGAACCTCTTTAGGATTATTTCGCTGGGAAAGAAAAAAGGTCTATTACATTGTATTTAAAACCTGGTAGATGCTAATTTAAGAGCCTTTGCTGTTTTGGTGGAACATGAGGGGCAGTCAAAACAATGCCCCGACAGAACAAGGTTCAAAGGTGAGAGTTTAAGATTAAAGGCTGGAGTGGACTTTCCCCTGACAACTTTCTACTGTCAGATAATTGTTTTTCCATTGTGAAAGGAAAAAAGGGTGGGAAAACAAGAGGAAACACTATTTCCTTCCTCTCCTTTTCTCATCCCCAGCACAAGGTCTTTCTGTTTCTACCTCTCTCAACCATGATGCCTTTCTTTGGGGATTCTGAATAATTGGTAAGCCATTATTCAGGGAGGGGTAACAAGTGGCAGCACTGGAAAGGAAGTCCAGTCACAAGTCAGCAACCACCACTGTCCCAGAACAGGGGAAAAAGCCTGAAGTCCTCCCCTATACACAATTATGGAAAAACAGATTCTGAGTTCTTGTTTAAACTATGAAAAAAGCCCCAATGAAAAATACATTCGCCTGAATCAAAAAAACAAACAAAAAACGCCAGCAGCGTGAACTGTGTTTAACTCCCTTAAAAGACAAATGAGCTTGCAAAGCATTTAAAAAGTATTAGTTCTTTCCCGCATATAAAGGAGCAAGACATGAAAGGATGAACTAGTAGGGGAAATACTTCATGCTAAAAGTTTTTAACATTTGCCTGTTTTCTTAATTCCAATAACTAACTGACATTTAGAATCAAGGAAATCTTGTTAAAGATTTAGCATCATGTTCTTCTCGGAGGAGATGCTGGAAAGCCTAATAACCACGACTGAGCTCTTTCATAGCGCAGCCATGGCGTCAAGCCAAAACAGCGACAAGGGAGGCCCAGCTCTGATCAACACTGGCATGCTATACCTCAAAGACTCTGACTATCCAAACGGTTGCCCCAAAAGGTAGGAGAAAAGTATTTTCCCTTTCTTGCACATAGAGAACGAAGGTACAAAGTGATTAAATGACTGCCTCAACCACCTACAGAAGCCAATAGTCCCAGTATAATCTGAACATAAAACTCACCTTTTTGCTGAAAAAAACAACACCATCCTATACATAAACACACACACACACAGATAGAGTCTTACTGCATCACCTACTTAGTTCATAAGCCTGGGTGAGCATGTCCCTTTCACAAACAATATCCACAGGCTGAACAGCTTTTGTGATTATCTCCTCTTCATCATCATCATGATACTCTTCCATTTTCTTTCGAAATTCCTTTATTAGTTTAAGGCAACGGACCATGACATCGGTCCCTGTAAATATGAACACTAACAGTAGCAACAGTTCTGAATAAAATGGGGGGAGGGGGGGAC